GCTGCCCACGAGGACCTCCCCCCCCCTCCCCGCTCCTCCCTGACTGCGAACTTCATCACCAGGCCTGGGCGGCTCCCTGCCCCGGGCGCCCCCAAGAGTAGAGTCGAGTAAGGAAGAGGTAAGAGGTCGAGAGTAGAGAGAGTAAGAAGTCGCCGAGAGATGTACTCGTGGTCCGACAACCGTAGGAAGCTTCTCCGCCACGTTCCGGGCGGCGAACGTTGTAGATGAGGGCCTTGGGGCAGGACACGCCCTCGCCCTCGCCCCCCTAATAGGGCCCTCATCCTCACCTCCTCCATACTACTCCTTAATCTTCATCCCTCCTCATCCCTTTCTGCCTACCTCCCTCCTCCCCTCCGCCCTCCTCCTCCTCCCTCCTCCCTCCTCCCTCCGCCCTCCTCCTCCTCCTCCTCCTCCTCCTCCTCCTCCTCCTCCTCCTCCCTTCTCCGCCTCCTCCCTCCGCTTCCTCCCGCGCCTGCACCTGTATTCTCGCCGTGTCCCTCCTCTCTCCTCTGCCGCGAAGGTTCTGATCTGGACCTGCACTGGTCAGAGGACTGGGTCAGATCGATCACTGCAGATATATACATAGAGAGAAAAAGAAAGGGAGGAGGAGGAGGTGGAGGAGGAGGAGGAGGACGAGAAGGACGAGGAGGAGGAGGACGATGGATGCAGCGGAAGATGACGAAAAGATGAAGGGAGAAGAGAGGCGGAGGACGAGGAGGAAAATGATAATGGGGAAACTGCGGAGGCAACGGAAGAGGAGAAGGAGGAAACTGAGGAGAAGGAGAAAACATATGACGAGGAACATGAACAGAAGGGGGAAAGGGAGGAGGGGAAAAGGAGGACTGAGGAGGGAAGTCAGTAGACAAGATGAAGGGGCGATGAAGTCAGTAGAGATGGCGATAGGAGAAGGATGATTGACCAATGGAAAGGGAGGACGAGGAGGAGGAGGAGGAGGAGGAGGAGGAGGAGGCGAAGGAGGCGAAGGGAGGAGGAAAAGGAGGGAAACGAAGGCAGGGTGGAAACGAGGGACGGAGGAGGGATAAAGGAACAAACGGGGCAGATGAGGAGGGCTGAAGGAGGACAGAAAGGAAGAGGGGGCGATGGTCAGGAGGACGAACGCAAAGAAGAGCAAGGAGGAGGAGGAGGAGGAGGAGGAGGAGGAGGAGGACCTGAAGAGAACAATGGAGGAGTGTGGAGGAAGGGGGGGGGAAAGGATGGAGACATGAAAAAACGTAGCACGCCCCGCAACTTCCGGAAGGCACCTTCCAGACCCAAGCCCCGTCTTCAAGAGCCAAACTTCGATTGGGCGTGTCCTCCTACAGGCGGAGTTTTAACGGAAAATAAAGCATAGCCAACAGATGCTCAACAATAATCAAACACAGTAGAACAGTCGTCCTAACACTATCTTGTTGGACTATGTTTGAACATTTTTCCTGCAGAGGGACATGCCCGACTTAAATCCAAGCGTTTCCAACCCGCTGCCACCGCCCGCTGAAATAAAAGGTGCGGGCCGTATGGGCTGAAGGGCTGGACTGGTGACCCTCCCACGGCCCCGCCCGAGCTTTGGGGATTGAAATGAAACTGTGCTGGAAGAATCCTGAAAACACGCTGCCCCCGCCATTGCCACTGGCGGGGTTGGGATAGCGAGAGCCCAATCAGTTTCACCGCTCGAAGAGACGGTCACGCGGGGCTATCTTGGGAGCCCCCCCGGGGCCACCCTCAAGCCGTCCTGGAGGCTCTTCTCGTCTCTCTTTCGCGAGATGATCGTCATTACCCTGACGAATGAGCGTCCCCCTTGCTCTGAGGTCCTAGCCTGGGGGATCACTTCATATACGGATCTTGTAGACGGATGAACTCTTAACGATGTCGTCCGACGTAACTGCAGCTCCGTGCAGCCAAAGCGAGAATGTAAAGCGATACGCGCGCGCTGAGAGAGAGGCGCGCGCACCCTTTTACCGCTAAGGCGCCAGCTGCCTCCTACCCACACAACTGGCTTTAGCCAAGCGCGTGTCGCGGCACGCAAGCATAGGCTCAAAAGGCGGAGGGAGCGAAGGTAACGACTCTTCTGTCCCTGCCGTCTTTGGCCTCTCCGTAAACATCCATAAGCCCTCTCTTTGGTACAGTCATCGGACTGACTTATGGAACGATACATACGGAACGGAGCCCCATTTTCTTCCAGGGAATAACGCATGAGGAACGACAGATAACCCCTGCAAGCCTAAGGAACGACCGAGCCCCTTTTGAAAAGTACTCCAGATTTCGTAATAAAGGGAGGGGGGTCTCATTTCGGGGGGGTCTCTTCCAGGCTATCTTGGAGGGCCTGGGGGGTCTGGGGACGATGTTTTGGAGGGTTCTCCCACGGGGGAGGTCTGAAATGGATTGTCTTGGAGGGTCCAGACCCCCTCCCTTTTATTACGAAATCTGGAGTAAGTGCTCCTCATTCAGGCCGCTCGCTGTAAGCGATCTCGGGGGCCTCTCTGGGCTTCCCAGGACCGCACCAAGCGGGAGCCCAGCCGAGACGCCCAGAAGGGACACATGCAGTTTACACATGACGTTCTCTCTTGATGGCGCCTAGCGTTAGGTCGGGCGCGTCCCCCTACAGGGCGAAACATTAAAAATACTCAAAACATACCCCTAAATAGCCCAAAAAACAATCAAAATATAGTCCCCAGACTATTTTTGGACTATGTTTGAACATGCCTCCTGTAGAGGGACACGCCCGACCTAAGCCTAGCGAGGATACTCTAAATCCGACACCGTATTGAGCAGTGGATGCGCTTTTCCTCGTGTAAACTCGCGCACGGGTAAACGGCCGACGTCCACCGGTAAAGCCAACATCCACCGGTGAACAGGCCACTCCTCCTCCGCCTCCTCCTCCTCCTCCTCCTCCTCCTCCTCCCTGCGCGCCAAGCCCTCGGGCTGCGCAAGGACGGCCACTGGGCCGCCCCGACGCCTGTCGCCAGGGGCCAACGCGTGCGCAACGTTAAAAAGTAACAGAGCAGAGCCTGCGGGTCCCCCAGTAGTCCACTGCTTTGGATATCGTAGAACTCTTCGAACGGCCTCCTCCTCCTCCTCCTCCTCCTCCTCCTCCTCCTCCGCCACTCCTCCTCCTCCTCCCTCCTCATCCCTCTCCCCCCCCCCTCCTCCTCCCATGCCTCCTCCTCCCGCTCCTCGCTCCTTCGCTCCTCGCTCCCCGCTCCCCGCTCTGCGATCTTCCTCCTCCCTCACTCCTCCTCCTCCTCCGCACCTCCTCCTCCTACTTCCTCTCCTCCGTACCTCTACCTCCTCTTTGCTCCTCCTCCGCCCCCTCCTCCGTCATGACACTCCCTCATCTTCCTCAGTCCCTCCTCACCCGCCTCCTCCTCTCCTCCTCTATGTCCTCCTCTTCTCAAGCCTCTTTTAGTACCCCCGCCACGCATCACCGATCCTCGCTCCTCGCTTTCCCACCCGCCTCCTCGTTTCCTCCTCGCTGCTTCTCGCTCCTCATTTTCCTTCTCCTCCCCTCCTCTCTCCTCCTCCTCCTCCTCCTCCTACCTCCTCCTCCTTCCTTCCCCCTCCGCCCTCCTCCTCCTCCTCACTCCTCCCATTTCACTCCTCCTCAATCCTTCCCCTCCTCTCCCGCTCCTCGCTCCTCGCTCCCCGCTCCCCGCTCCCCGCTCCTCCTCCTCCTCCTCCTCCTCCTCCTCCTCCTCCCCAGCCCAAAGTTCCGGACGCTCTCGGGATGTGTCGCGTGCCCCACGAGGCTTGTCGCGGGACTCTTCCGGCGGCCAGAAAGCTCCGAGGCGGCCCACAGGGGGCGCCACGAGGTCCTCCAGATGGTCCACGAGCGCCCTGAAACGGCCCAAGGACGCCTCAAGACGGCCTCAAGACGGCCGAAGAGGCCACCCAGACGCCCCGAGGGGCTCTTAGAGGGCCCCAAGAGGGAAGTATCTGTGATTAGCTCCGTGTTTTTTCACGGATTGAGCGTTCTCGCCTTTTCGGGGTTCCGACGCTCCAAGACGGCCCCAAACGACCCCAAGATCACCCCAAGACGGCCTCAAGAAGGCCCCAGGACGGCCAAAGAGAGCCCCCAAACAGCCAAATATGCGGGAGCGCGAACTGACATTTCGAGCCCGGCCCTAAGAAGCCCCAGGAGGCCCCCAAGAAGCCCAAAAGTGGTCGCAAGAGGAACCCAAGAGGACCCCGAGAGGCCCCGAAACACCCCAAAACTTCCTCCAAGAGACTTCCAAGAAGCCTCCAAACATATCCCAACAGGCATCCAACAAACCTCTGACCTGCAACCAGAGGGCCTTGGCGGAATAGGCCGACAACCACTAGATCCGCCGCCCCCTTTTGATTGCCGCAGGGGTGCACGGCGTGCCAGACATTACTCGTTTGAGCACTTCCAAGAAGTCCCGGTGGGGTCTCGGCCGAGCCAGCTGGCCACGCGGAACAAAAATCATGCCAGCAACACTCCGCGGACTTTTCCGTCCACGGTGGCTCCAAGATGCCTCCAATATGGCCTCCAAGCCAGTCCCAAGACGCCTCCCAGATGGCCGATATGGTTCCAGGACAAACCAAGATACCACCAAGACGGCCCAAAATAACCCCAAGACGGCCCAAGATGCCCCCCAGACAGCCTGAGAGGGCCCCAAGACGCGCCAAGAGGGATCCAAGAGGACCTCTAAGGGGCAAACATCATTGAATTTCCGACGTGTATTTTTGGAATAGTGTTCGCGTTCTGGCCTTTTTGTAATCGGCTCCAGCGGCCTCCAAGATAGCCGTAAGACGGCCCCAGGACGGGCCAAGAAGGCCCCAAGACGGCAGCTTCAAAGGTCCCAAGACGGCCCCACAAACCTCCAAGACGGCCTTGAAGGACCCAAAGAGGGCCCCAAGACGGCTCAGAGAGGCCCCCAAGATAGCCTCGGCTCAACGTTTGGCCACATAGGCGCTTCCAGAAGGCAAGAAAGGACGATGGTTCGCCGTAGGAGTCTTCGATAAACGAGACAACATGTCAACTGCTATGCCTCTCTGACGTCGCTGGCGCGGCCTGGACACGATGCGTCAACAATCTGGCAACGAGACCCTCTTTCTTGGTGTCTTGCGCCCTCCCTCCTCCTCCTCTTCCTCCCTACTCTTCCTCGTCTGCTTCCTCCAGCTCCTCCTCCCCATTATGCGCCCCTTCGTTCCTCGTTTCTCCTTCCTCCCACTTGCTTCCTTCCGGTTTCGTCCGCCTCCTTCCTCCTTGCCCTTCCCCTTAGTCACGCCCCATTGTCCTTCCCCTCCCTTCCTCCTCATCGCTGGAGGCCCCCAGCGCGAACGCGTGCGCCAGGTTGTTCATGGCGAGCACGATCCGGTAGCGCACCCACGCGGCTGGGCGCAAGGGGGGAAGGCATCGTGTCGCCGAGAAGGGCACACTGATGCCAAGGGGCACGGACATCAAAACGAAGCCAGGGCGAGGATAAACTCGGTTGAGGGGATAGATCGAGAATCTCTGAGATCCGGCGGTTCTGGAGGATGAGGCGTCGCGACCTTCTCAGAGCGTTCCTGAACGCTCTGAGAGCGTTCCAGAACGCTCTGGAACGTATTTATCCTCGTCCTAGCCCCGCCCGAGACATGCGCGGATGGATACACCTGGAGATCTGGGCGCCGTGACAAAACACACACGCCAGACATTTCTGCCCGATGTCAGTCCCTGGGCACCCGTGGCGGATGGATCTGGCTCGTGAATCCCAGCATGAAGATGGTGTCGAGGGCTCTGGCCCTGTTTCTGCACGGCGTCGTTTTTTTTCAAGAACGCTTGGTTTCGGTGAGGAGGAGGAGGAGGAGGAGGAGGAGGAGGAGGAGGAGGAGGAGGAGGAGGAGGGCGGAGGAGGAGGAGGAGGAGGAGGAGGAGGAGGAGGAGGAGGCGTACGCGACCTACCTCGAGCGCGTGCAGATACTCGGTGATTCGGTGGGCCTTCTCCTCCTCCGCAGGGAACGAGCGAGAGAGGCGGGCGAGGAGAAGCGGCAAGAGGGTGAGGTGAGCACGCGGGCAAGGCTCGGAGCAGGGCCAACTGAGACAACGGCAGCTCAAACTCGGTCCCGGACCCCTCCTGAGTTCCAAACGCACCAGCTATCCGAGCTGCGGCCAGCCGTGGCGAGGAGGGGCCACCCCGAAGACCAACTACACCCCTGCCCCCTGCTCAGAGTTGAGAACATCTTACGCTAAGAAAGTGGACCTCACACCAGGCGTTTTCTGAACCAGTAGCCCAGGTCCACAGATACGAACATCCCACGAAGAAGAGAAGCTCCAAGGAAAACGCCCAGGGTCCAGTCCGGATTCCTGATATTCTTGTTATTCTTGGGAATGTGATGGTTTGTCTTAAACTTCTGATGGGTGCACCGCTGTCTCAACTGGCCCTCCTCTGAAAGACGAAGCCAGATCGCGAGCTTAAGCTGGGACGGGGCCACCGACCCCAACGCACCTGCGGCCGATGATGCGACCGCCGAAGCACGGAGGGGGCCAAACAAGGAGGAGAAGGAGGATGAGGATGAGGATGAGGTTGAGGATGAGGAGGAGAAGGAGGAGGAGCACGAGGGGAGGAGGAGGAGGAGGAGGAAGAGGAGGAGGAGGAGGAGGAGGAGGAGGAGAAGGAGGGGGAGGAGGAGGAGGACGAGGAGAAACTGAACTGAACCAGCATCGGATGCCAGCTGAATCGACTGCACGAGCCCGTTGCTTCGCCACTGTGTCGGCTTCGGGATATGGCTAAGGCTACCCTGTCACCAGTCACTTTGCTTCGAGGGCCTGCTCTCGCCAACAAGCGATGGTGCAGCACGAGGAGGAAGAGGAGGAGGAGGAGGAGGAGGAAGAGGAGGAGGAGGAGGAGGAGGAGCAGCAGAAGCAGGAAGAGAAGGAGGGAGGGAGGGCGGATGATGATGCTGACGATGATGGCGATGGCGATGGCGATGGCGATGGCGATGGCGATGGCGAATGATGATGATGATGATGATGATGATGATGATGATGATGATGATGATGATGATGATGATGATGGTGGTGGTGACGGTGCTGATTATGATGCTGATGCTGATGCTGATCCTGATGCTGATGATGGCTGCTGGATGTGCTGATGAGCTGTGCTTATGCTGATGTCTGATGATGATGATGATGATGATGATGATGATGATGATGAGGCTGAGGTGATAGTGATGTTGATGATGCTGATGACGAGAGTATGATGATGATATGATGATGATGATGATGATGATGATGATGATGATGATGATGATGATGATGATGATGATTATGATGCTGATGATTGAGGGAGGAGGAGGGAGGAGGGGAGAAGGAGGAGGAGGAGGAGGAGAAAGAGGAGGGGAGGAGGAGGAGGAGGAGGAGGAGGAGGAGAGGAGGAGGAGGAGGAGGAGGAGGAGGAGGCAGGAGGAGAGGAGGAGGGAGGAGGAGGAGGAGGGGAGGGAGGAGGAGGAGGAAGAGGAGGGAGAGGCAGGAGGAGGGAGGAGGAGAGGAGGAGGAGGAGGAGGAGGAGGAGGCATGGAAGAGGAGGAGGAGGAGGAGGAGGAGGAGGAGGAGGAGGAGGAGGAGGAGGAGGAGGAGATGCTTTCGCGCCGCGCGGACTTGGTCGGGGCCTCTCCCTGCGGGCAGGGGCGGGCGCGCGGGGCGCAGGCGCGGCCGAGGCCCGGGGGCTGCCGGGGAGGTGGGCACAGCCTGCCCCCAGGCGCCCCGCCCTGCGCTCCGCCCTCGGCGTCCTTGGCCTAAGTCGGGCGTGTCCCTCTACAGTTGTGGATGCCATGACAGTGGACACTCTAACAGTCCTATCATTGAATTAAAGGTGCGTTTAAGATGTGCAAGACATGTTCCGAAAATGTTTCAAACATAAAAAAACATATTTGAAACATCTTTTAGACATCTGGAAATGATTTGGCAGCATGCTTCCTCTCCATCGATCGCCTTCCACAACTCTACAAGGGGGAAAATCCCCCCAAAAATAGCCGAGAAGTAAGATGGGGACGATTCTTCGGCTGCTTCTGACAATATGCTGATTCTCTGTTATTCTTCGTCCAAGATCCCCCTGCAGGAGGACATGCCCGACCTAAGCCTTGGCCTTCCGCGCCACTGTGGGGCCCCACGGGGCCCTCGGGGCCTCGCGGGGCGTGCCCCAGGGAGGCCGGGCTCGGGGTGGGGGGGGGTCCCCGGCACTCCTGGCGGCACCGCGTGACGGCCAGAGGTGTCTCCGGCACTCCAGCAGCGCCCGAGAGGAGGGCGAGGTGGGGGGCCCTCTGGGCCTCGCGAGGGGTGCTCTCATCGGGAGCGGCAAAGACGGGGGTGTCCAAGAGGGGGGGTGCAAATCATGACCGGCGGCATGTGCGCGGCCCAGCGGGGGGGGCAGGGACGCAATGAAATAAGAAGGGGCGCCATGAAATCTGGGGACGCATCATGGCCCCCGCCATGATATCCACCCCCCCTAGTCATCACCCCCCTTTTCTCCGCCCCCGATCTAAGGAGGTCGCCGGGGCCTCCCCGGAGATCCCGGGGACGCTGTGGGCCAGGGGCGCCTCCAGCAGCAGCCGCTCCGGGGCCCCGCGGGGGGGGGGCGCTCCAGCGGGGGCCCCGCCCTCCCCCCGGCGGCGGCCAGAGCTCGCTGCGGGCGGGCAGGGGGCCACCTCCCTGGCAGCCCCCGGAGAGGAGGTCGGACATGGTGATGTCCCTCCGGTTCATCCAGCGCCACCTGGGCGACGGAAAGATCGGGGATGGGCAGACCCTCCTTTAGTAAAACGCGGTTTAGTGAAAAAGACCCGAGGCCCAAACCTGGCGGGCGCAAGCCTGGAGAAGAACGGCCACGGCGCCCCCTCGAGAACCGAAAAAACGGACGATTCACGAATCGACGTGTCACTGTTGGGGGTTCTGTCCACCCCCGAAGAGAGAGGCGTCACATGCGCGAGAGGGCATCGCGACCTCACGCCGCAGCGCACGCGGGCCGCCCGCGCGGCACGCCCGCGCGGCACGCCGCAGCGGAGCCGAGGGCGTGTGCGCGCCCACCTCACGCGGGAAGCCTGCGAGCGCAGGTCCGCGCAGTCGATCTCCCGTGTGCTTCTCGCGCCACCTGCAGGAAGCGCGGAGAGCCACCACCCTAGGAAAGCACCAACTATACACCAACACCGATCCTGGCCAGGATCACCCTGGGCCCAGGATCGGTGTATACGCCCTCCTGCCTTGCGCAAGAAGGCATATACACCGATCATGGGCCCAGGGTGATCCTGGGCCAGGATCGGTGTTGGTGTATAGTTGGTGCCCTCCGACACCCTGCAGCGAGCATGCCCCCGCAAGCGACGAGACCCACGTTCGGCAAGCGCACCCCATCTGAACTTTGACGCGGACTCCCGCCGCAAACTCACGGAAAGCAGATCGTCAAATGCAGGCTGCGCCCGCAACAAATAATCAAGGAAGCCCGAGTTCCGGCGAGCTCGGGCCTTGCGTTTCCCCGATTGGAGGCCTGGGCCCCTCCGCTTCGTAAGACGAAGCCAGAACGAGGGCAAAGTCGGGTGAGGACAGATCGAGAATTTCTGAGATCCGGCGGTTCTGGAGGATCGGGGATGGACAGACCCACCTTTAGTAAAACGTGGTTTCGTGAAAACGACCTGAGGCCCAAACCTGGCGGGCGCAAGCCTGGAAAATAACGGCCACGGCGCCATCTCGAGAACCGAAAACGGACAATTCACTAATCGACGTGTCACTGTTGGGGGTTCTGTCCACCCCCGAGAGGATGCCTCGGGCGCCGCGGCCTTCTCGGAGCGCTCCGGAACGCTCTGAGAGCGCTCCGGCACGCCCTGGAACGGATCTGTATATCCTCGCCCTGGCCCCGGCGTATGGATGATGATGATGATGATGATGATGATGATGATGATGAGGAGGAGGAGGAGGAGGAGGAGGAGGAGGAGGAGGAGGAGGAGGGAGGAGGAGGAGGAGGAGGAGGACGATGAGGACGAGGAGGATGAGGACGAGGAGGATGAGGATGAGGATGAGGATGAGGATGAGGATGAGGAGGAGGAGGAGGACGAGATCATGGCCCTGGCCCCGCCCGACGTCTCCAGGCCTGGGCCCCCCCCCCGCTCGGGGGCGCCACCTCGCCGCGCGCTCGAGGCGCGCCTGCCGCGCCGCCCGCCGCGCGGCGAGGCGCGCCAGGCGCTCCCGCCGCGCGCGCGAGGCCCGTCTCGTGCTCTCCGCCGCCGCGCGCGCGCCGGCCGCCGAGCGCGGCGCCGCGCGATCGCAGGCGCGCTCCAGGCGCGCAGGGAGCCGCGCGACGCGGCCCTCCGCGCGCCCGCTGCGCGCGGCAGCGGCGCCGCGCCTCGGGAGCGCTGGCCGAGGCTTCGGG